GCGGGGTCAAGCTTCGCTGTGCGTCAAATTAGAAGAACGGGAAGTGGAGATGTTTTTAAGACAAATGCTGTTAGGTCTACCTGACAGTGCTAAAAAAGAATTTTGGAGAATAAACTCCAAAAATTAAGCTGCCCCCTTATGGAAAAAAAAAAGATTCCGGCTTTACGCATCGCTTGAAAACTGAGTGTCCCCAGAACACGGAGGCGCGATATAATTATTATTTGTCTTGATATGTTTTAAATTTGGACATGCTCCTTCCAAACTCAAATGTCTTAGCCTCAGACTTCTACCGTACGCATTACAAGTAATCAAATTACTTGTAATCGATTACTTTTTGGAGCAATTTTGTAATCAGTTGATTACTTTAATTAGGCAGTAATCACAAGAGTATTCTGATTACTTTTTGAAGTAATAAAATTACTTGTAACCGTTACAATTTGTCCACGGGACCCCCCCCCCCCCCTTTCCTCCCCCCGGCACACGCCTTTTTTTTTAATGAAATGACAAAAATAGCATTTCGTTTTTTTTTTTTCGAACGGAAAAAAGAAAGATTTTTGCGGAGCTGTAGGAAACGAGGTCAATCTCTTTCTATGTACAGTTTCTGTGAAATGTCCGTTTTTTTTTCAAGCGGGGACTGGGAGTGGGAAGCCCCAGGGAAGCCACAGTGCGTGACAAAGGCCATTCAGGGCGAAGTTTGAGGAAGCTGAATGTAGCTTTGTGAGTCATTTGTTCAAACTAGACCCCTCACGCACACACACACAGAAATAAAAAAAAATAAAAAAATCCTGCTTAGGCGCAGCCCGTAGGAGAACTAGAACCGAAGAATGCCTAAAGCTGATGCAAAATATAACAAACGCAGTTGAAATATTTCCCCTTTTCCCCTACGCGGTCTTTGTGACAAGCAATGTTTCGAGTTGAGAAGCGGTTGGGGCGATCTCTTCCACTAATGGATACTACACATGATCCGTTTCAAATGCTGGAGCTGCTACTCTTTTGTATAACATGCGAGCTCATCCACATGTGAATAATAAAATGAGCGACGCAAACTTTGAGCGACAACCCTTGCTCAAGCTTAACAAGATCTAGAACCCCCTCTGCTCCCCCCCCCCTCCACACACACACACAACTGGCGAACGCCCAAATCATTAAACGTCTTCAAACGAATTCTATGCTTTTGTCCGCATTGTGAAGGTGCAACGACCACTAAGAGGGAGCCAGTTTTTTTTTTTCTTCAATACTTGTGCAAATCTGAAATATAGGTTGGAAGTAGTTCATTGTTGTGAGCGCTAAAGATGTGCCTTCAAACAATAAAGTAATCGGAAAAGTAACGATTACTTCTTTAAGTAATGTCCAATTACTTTTGCCGTCGAGTAATCAAGTAATCTAATCGAATACTTTTTAGCCAAGAGTAATAGTAATTGTAATCGATTACTTTTTTTTAGTAACGTGTACAAGACTGCTTAGCCTTCATCATAAATTACCTAATTCGCAGTCGCTCCGTGCTTAGCCTTCATCATAAATTACCTAATTCGCAGTTGCTCCGACGGAAACTTAGGAAACTGATCATGAATTGTGCCGAAAATTTTGGGAATCGGAAATTGACACAGGTCTTAAGATGTAGAGAACTTTCCCAACACGTTACTGATCAAGTTACCAGATATATGAGTCATATCTTAAAGGAGATAAAGCTACGCTTTCCAATATAAAGAGGAAGTTAAGAGAAATAAAATGTATTTTTCATCCGAAAAAATTACCTTAGGTACATTTAAGTGAAATTTCGCCAAAAATGTATTCTCCCCAAGAAACGAAAGAAAACGAAAATTCTGTACGCTATATTTTCATGGCTTCGTGCAAGCATACCAATACTCCCTAAATACTCCTTCTAAATTATTTGGGAAATCGACGTCTGAACAAGCCAAGTAAAATTCTGCCCTTTTTTCATTATTTTAGGGGGGGGGGGTGAAAAAGCAGATTCACTGCTTTCTCTGGTGCCTATAGGTTTCTTAAGGATAACCCAATGTGTTCACACTGTAGCTATTTATTTCCTTTCGTATCCCGGGTCAGGCTGCTTCTTCTGTTCTAATTTTGCGGCTCGGCCACAATAACGTAAGACCTCTAAATGCTACACATATTTCAAGAACTACAAATAAACGAGGATAAACGAGGACCCTCTAAAGCGTACTTAATAGACACCAGCTGAACAACCCAAGCACACAAATGTAAGAAGGACGAGAGTGACGCATTCAACCGCTGGACTACCAACTGAAATTTAATGAAACACTTCATCTTCATCGACAGGCTAGGATCAATCATACCTAGCTTGCTTCACTTCTTCCTCTTTTTCCTCATTATTAAACTAAGGCATCCTCCTCGTCTGTCTACTTGTGGGCGGTACTTCCCTTCGCAAGAACGTTCTCTCTTCTCTGGTTAAGGTCACAAAGGGTGAACTAACACACATGTCCCCTTTCTCTTGTATGTTTAAAGCTTCTAAAACCTCGCGTGCTTTCCGGTGGTTAGTTTCCTCTAAAGCGCATATTCATCACACATTATCCAGGCAAAATCACGAAGACAAGCGTTGCCATCATATAGAGGTGAATTGATTATTTTATACACCGGCAATTATGCAATACTTGGTAATAACGTCCATATTCGTCGATAGAAAGCAATACTCACAAGAATTATCTTGTTTTACAATGTTTTCAAACGCCACTCTAAGTTCGAAAGCGGAGCCCTTTCTTCCATCGTCACATTCAAGGAAATGCGAGTGTATCACTCGTTTCACAATGCAAGCGGCAATGCTAAGCGAGGTTTGATATGTTTTGTTGTTGATGTTTTCGTAAAGGGAAGACACATTAAAGAGCTACTGAGCCGAAATTTGGAGCTCACAATACAAAGCTGGAACGATAGACCGGAACGCGGAAAAACCTAAAAAACGTCACTCATGCAGGGATATCTCTAACGGTGGCAGTATTTTTGCGGAAAAGAGCGCGCGATTGCATACGGCCGACGAGGCCGACGAGACGTGTGACGTCAGGATTTTATTCGCTCGCCTCCCCGCTTCGTCTCCTCGAGCTTGTGGACCAAAGCGAAGACGAGAGAAGCGAGGGAGCTTCCCGTCATTCTCAACTGTTCTCGGCGGATCCTGACATTATAGTCTCACTTTATCGCGCCCTTCTTTTCCAAAAGTATGGCAATCCGTTTGAGATGAGTATCGATGTATACGGGATATTTTGAACATCTTGGTTTAAAACAGGGCTACAAAACGATTACAAAGTAAAGACGACACAGATGACAGTGCTCTCTATAAACTGAAAGTTTATTTCCAGCGCTGTCTGTGAATATATATACATGTTCAACAGCCAAATAAACAATATCCGTTAAAAATCCATACAGTCTCAACATCTTCTCAGTTATATTAGAGAGCTTTGTCATAATCAATCTCTAATATGCACCAGTCAGAAACAAAAATTCTGAATCACAGAGACCAACCGAGGTTGTGCTGACACATTCCTCTTTAGTTAGTCCTTGTCTGTAGATTACACGCTGAACTTGTCTAAGATTCCAGGCCTAGAGTACGACACTGTCCAGGATCATCGGATTAAGAAAAAACGTACATTGTGTAGCAATAACACCTGTCTCCGATGGCCAAGATGTGCTCTCTTTGTCACTCACATGGGAGAGGAAGTAGTCGGTCGTTTCTTCGGTCCGTCGAAGGTAGTGGTCATATGTATGCTCCCAAGAAAGAAATATCAACGGTGCGTAGGCTCTGCCGACAGAACATTTATGGTCCCGACAATCCACATGTTAAATATTGCACTTGGCATTTATACGAAATGCGCTGCAGGTGATCGAAACTCTAGAACCAGTTCTTGCCGGTTCCAGTAGGAGTGGCCTGGACGGCTGAGATGGCGAGCCACTTCGCCCGATAGAAAAATCTGATAAATAATAAAATGCACTAAAAAAAAAACTGTTTTTACAGATGCGCAAGTTAATTTTGTAATTACTTTTTCTGAAAAAAAAAATCTCTTTCTCCAGAAACATTTTATAAATTGGGAAGTGTATCTCCCCGTTTGCAGTTCGCGGCTGCGGGACAGACCTCACAGTCTCCCTGCCTTGTCATGTAGTCTTGCTTCACGCGGCCCCACTTTCTGTGTGTTTGTGTTTCGCGAGCTTGTACCAAGCTGAGAGCTTGGTACAAGCTAACGTGCTCGGTGAGCCAATCTCACCGAGCACGTCTACCTTTATCACGGGACCACGGGCCATTACGTAACCACACGGAGAAAGCGCGGGAGGGGATGAAAAGCAGGCGATTTACTGGTCCGGCGGACGCGTTGCGCGCCGGCACTGACAGCTTAGGAATAAACGGAGACCTCCTCGATCAAGAAAATCCCGATGCGTGTCCTTCGTTAACTATGACCCCTTTCATCCAGTACTTTCTCTATATTTATTAATTTACTGGCGTATAGAATAATGTGATGGTGAAGGGTTTTTACAGTTTTCTTTTTTCCTCGTTGAGTCCATGGTTCAAATTCAGTTTCGCCAAATCAAAACACGCATCCCCACTTTCCTGGAAAGGCTATTTCACGAAGAAAAAAAATTACGCTTCAATGAGAGTACCTAAAACGCAGAAATTAACAGAATACAGTCTTTAATTAAACATAAGGAAGGTACTCAGAAAAGGGGGGGGGGGGGGGGGGGCGGACAACAAAGTCTTCGTTGTCCGTCCCCCATTTCGTTTTGTACACAATCTTTAACAATCGCAGTGCCTGTCGTGCTTCTCTTTTCTTCCTTCGCTCTTTTTTATCAGTTTATCCTCATCACGTGCAACGTTCAGCAACTGATAAATCTGCGTAGAGTCTGTCGTTAGTGCTTTATGTGTGTGTCATGAACTGTTATACTTACTGATGAACACGCGCTTTTTTTGCAATAAAAATGCAGAAGCACCTTGGTTGGCTATCTCGTGTTAGTTTAGGTATCGTTTGAAATGGTGACAAGCTCCACTATTCGTTCAACATTTCCTTTTCAAGAACGACCTTCTTCTTGAGCTCTTGTCTCCTAACCTTTCCGTTATCAAATTTGGGAAGGCATTTCATAAAAACAACTCCTCCGTACAAGTGCTTGAAGACTGCTGCTTGTCCTGCAAACAAGAAGCCGAGGTTAAACAAGCACGAGGACAATGCAAATCAATTTCTTATAGGCTTCACTCTGTGCGTCTGAATATTTATTATGGATATATAAAATACATCAAAGTGTACGGATTTATATTCTTGAAGCTTTGTGGGTTTTAGAAAAGGCATGGTAGAAAGAGAACAAATCTAACCTGACGTGCCTTTAGCATTTCAGGAAGTAAGTTGATTGCAGCTATTGAGAGGCTGAGAAAGCAAGGGAATCTCTTAAGCATGCCCGGACCTTAGCACGCGCTCATTTCTTTTAGTCGTGCTTTGGCTTCGCATGGAGACTCGAGGTACGCGAGACGCTGAGGCGTTATCAAGGCTAGAAAGCTTGCACTGGACGCGATACAACTAAGGAACATCCGTGCTGTTCTAACTTTGTCAGTGACTAAAACGTTATTTTAATTTTAATTTTCAAAGTTAGTTCAGTTTAGACAAGTGCCACAAAAGAGATGGTAACATTGTCAAGGTTATGCATAGAAACATTGCATTTGTCACAATGTTTCATATGCAAGCCTTCGTAAACATCGAATTAATTTTAAAAAGTTGCCTCTACACAAACATTTCCTCTGACGTATACAACACGCCTTATTATATGAACCATAAATACGGCACGATCAATCTTTTCTGGTCGAGGCAGGTATTAAGATAAGATTTTTTTTTATAAACGAGCTGAACATTCAGAGGAAATGGTATCAACGTAAAATATGTCCTGGATATAATTCCCCGTATTGTGTGCGAGCGTTAATTTACTGCGTTTTAATTACAATGCGTTTTTATTTGTAGTTTTTAGCGTGACATCGTATGCACCGAGAAAAGCATCCGTGCTCCAGTTAATATTTCAGGAAATAAAATGGCTCATAAGTGGAGTGTTTTACTGAACAAAATTTGTACATTAAACTTGCCACTTACACTTATAAATGCAAAAGGTAGGACATGCTAACAACACACCAATGACCGAAATGGGAATATTGTCAAAATGACATGTACCTGCGATGAGCTCCTTCAATTCCGACGCCAGGCTCTCGAGGTTTTCCTTGAAGCAATCTTTAAGAACGACACAAGCTGTTGGAGCCTCGCCATACTTTGGATTCGGAACACCCACAACTGTGGCCTCGGCGACAGCCTTATGGGCCAATAAGATTTCTTCCAGCTCAGCAGGGGCGACCACATTATCCATGCATTTTATCATTTCTTTCATTCTCTCGATGACATGAATCCGTCCTTGAGTGTCGTAGTAGCCAAAATCTCCTGAAACATCGAAATCTCATCTTCACGAGTTGTGATGGCCATAGGTTTTTGTTTTAAGGTCAACGTTTGGGGCGATTCGGTCTATTCAAGGTGCGTACCGATTTCTAACACACGTCAGAAGTGTGGGCGAAGAGATGCCTGCAGTTCGAAAATTAGCGCTCGTCCAGCCTCCACGGTCGTGCAGAACGTATGCAAGCAATACCTCCCCATAGTGGCTTATGATTGTCTTCTGTGGCATTAACAAGTTCCTACCAATCCACCTTAAACCTCATTTTAGTTTTGTAGTAAACGTACTGTACAGCGCGCCCCCGTTAAAAAAGAAAGACTATAGAGTGTCATTTTTTACTGCAAAAGTGGACTTCTCATCGCCGGGCGCTCCATCTGCGCTACGGTTCGGAGCAGATGCAAAATGTTGAAAAATAACTTCTATACCATTCAATTCTTTTATGTAATTTTTTTTAAAACTTTCAACGGGAAATAGTGCTCATTCCCGGTACCTGACGCCATTCGCCTCCGTGCATTTGACGGCTTCGCCGGACAAAACTTTTACATTGAAAATTAAAAAAAAAAGAAAGACGTTTAGATTTCTTTGTAATGCCGAATTAGAGCGCAGCTCTTGAGGAGGAGAAGCGGAGGGTACGGAGGGGAAAGCATGTACCTTTTTCACCCCACCCCCTTCTCTTCGTCTGCTCCCCTTTCATTTAGCGGGAAATGTTCGCTAAATTTCCCGCTAAAATTAGCGGGAAACTTTTTCCGCTCGATTTAAAGGAAATATTTTTCCGCAAAATGTAGCGCGGAAATTTTTTCGTTAAACTTAGAGCAAAACTTTTCGCGCAAAAATTAGCGGGGAAACTTTGCGAAAGTTTTCCCGCTAATAGTTAACGGGAAACTTTTCCCATAATGGAACGCGCGGTTACGCTTGATTGCATTATCTCCATAATGCAACGCACGTGGTTACGCCGGCGGCGACGCCGCTCAAGCCGGAAGAGGGCTGCACCTTAGCGCTGTGCTCTAAATTGCTTACAACGTTTCAATTAAATAACGGCAAGCTCTGAAACTTTGACATTTGGTCCGTTTACTAGCGTCATATTTGGACGGAGACTGCGCGTTCAGTAGTGCTTATTGTACTTTTACTGCAAATGAAGACACAGTCAATTTTCTGGGGGAACACGCACTTTTCTTGACGTCAGCCTCAACTTGTAATCTTAAGGTAACATGGTTATAAACACATGTTCGCAACAATAATGTCTCCATTGGCGCTAAGCTATCGACGAGTGTTTTTTTTTATTATTACTTTAGGTATGGCGGAGCCATGGCAGCCTATCTTCGGCAAAGATTAATGAGACAGAATTCAGTTGTCTGTATTCCAGACAGTTTATGGCATTTTTTGGCAACGGGCAACACATTTCTGTTTGAAATGCGCAAGTTCAGGTGTATGTTTGAAAGGGTTTAAAGCTAATTTTAGGTTTGCATTTTGTGATTCTCACTTTAAACGTACTTTCTGGTGTGTGTCGCGGTTGATAGCGTTCTCCCAAAGGAATCTATTCTTTATTTCGAGTTTTTTAAAACAATCATTATTTTGCCTTTTTTAACCGTCTTGTACATTCGAACATGCTGATACTATACTGGCTACATTTATTTCTAATTGCGAATTAGTTGACATTTGACACAGCTAGGTTTATGAATTATCTTTGCCGCACAGCATGTGGGTATTCCTAAAATAAGAGGCAAGACGCATACGAGCAGGTGAACAATCTTAACTGAGAAATAAAACCTTGAGACAAGGGAAAAGAAAGGAAATACACACCACCGCCTCAAACGAACACAGCATACCGCTGTCCTTTAATTCCGAAACAATCTTTTTTTGTGACAAACATCATCCACATACACATTCAACAGCAGGGACACTCATTACACTAAGAAAGCCTCGAGCACACAAAAAATGACAGCTCTGAGCTGTGCTGGTTTTAGACGGTGGTGTGTATGCCCCTTTTTGTTTCCTTGTCTCAAGGTTTTGTTTGTTAATTATGAGGGTGTGTCTACTTGTTTCACAACACACAACTCTTGACTATCATAGCTCGACGTCAAAACTGTGGGCAGAGAAATATGATAATGCGCAAAAGCATGCAAACTAGCTAGACAGGCACAACAAAACCAGTGGCGTTTGATATAGGAAATAGAATTACGTGTAGTGTTCATTAATAAAACAAATGAGACGACTGATTTACCTGTACGGTACCAGCCACCTGAATTCACAGCTTCAGCGGTAGCTTCAGGACGCCCATAGTAGCCTTTCATGATGCATGGTGTGTGAATTTCGATTTCACCGTTTTGATATGGGCCGAGAGACTCTCCGCTGCTTAGGTCTGTAACCTGGGGCATGAATTTGAAACTTCATTTACTCTCCTTTTCTAAGAAATTTGGACTGCTTAGTAAAATATACAGTGAAAAATAACGTTACTGAGGCGATGACAAGGAATAGAGATTCACAGGAGAACCGCTGTTTTTCTCTTAAACTCGAATTCGAACGAACTTTTACCAACTCGCCCAAATATCTATTCTTAATAAGTGACAGCTGGCACCACCGTCTTCAAATATTGTTACATGTCTGTGGCAATTTGTGGTAATATATTGTCAGATTCTAATGTTTAGTCTTTGTACGAGTATTTACACCCTCATAGTTGTCGGATAACGCTAAATTAAAACAAGGTTGCGCAATGCATACGGACTTTTCAAGGCAAGAGGGAACAGGATATATTATATAGGGAACTTTCAGAAAGAAAGTACCTTCTGGCGCATTAGTCCCGCGAGGATATTTCTTTTCTCATCATACATGCGAAGTTGTGTTCCTAGTCTGCTAGTCACACCCTGCTTGTGGTTATTTTTATGTGATTAATGTTTTTCAGATTTGTTTTGCAATTATTTTATCTAACTAAGCAGAACGACACGCCGACCCCGAAATCTGCATTTTGGTAAGTTTTTTTTTTTATGCAGCAAATATTTTACATTGCAGACCCCATAAGGTACAATAGAAAATTATAACTTTTATTACTAATTAGGCTTTAAGAAAACCCGTTATGCAGGAATGAGAGCGAAAGCTTAAGCAGGGCGACAGACAGAGATATAGCATTCAAAATGCATTTCAAGCGCTCAGGCTATATCGTGTCGCAAACAAAAAAATAGTGAAGGAAGTGAATAAAAAATTATTGAGAACTCACACTTTACAATTTTCTAATATTCGTAAATATGTCCATAAACTTTCGATCTCATTGTCTATTAAAATTAAAAACCAACACTTTATGACCACAGATGGCTTTTACTATAGATGCCAGAGATTTGGGCAGAAGTCTTAGGCGGCATAATCTTGTAAGGATGGAGAAAACCTTTCGCCGCAGTAGGTAAACTGAAGAATTTTGACGAGCGTGTTGGGACAGATGGAACAGTAAGAAAGCGCAAAACAAATAGAGGGACGAAAACAGACATGTACAAGCTTTCAGTTTACAACAACAGATATTTGACGCCAGCGAAGTCTGCACTAACAACCGTCGGTGGGGAAGGGGGGCACCGGGATCGTTATGGGAGGGAGATAATTGAAGTTTATAGGATGACTACCACCAAGAAAGACTTTGCTTCCCCATCCCTCTCGTTGACAAAACCAGAACTGGTGTTTCTGAGGCCGACGTTTTCTCGGACTCTAATCGCACAACCTTGAACAACAAGACCCCTTTGGCCTTCGACCGTCAATCCCCTTCGTATGCGGAAACGCTATCTTGTCTTCCGTCCCCCTTTTCTTCCCTCTCAACCTTCTTCCCCTTCTTTTCTCCCTCTTCCTCGTTCCCCCTTCCCCACCGACGGTTGTTAGTGCGGACTTTCTGGCTTCAAATATATGTTGTTGTAAGCTGAAAGCTTGTACATGTCTGTTTTCGTCCCTCTCTTTGTTTTCTGCTTTCTTACTGTTCCTAGGTAAACTGCCTTCACATGAAACGGTATATATTATATCGAAAGCTTTATTGACATATACAGAAATCATTGAAATTAAGCGTTTCTGAAACAATGCTGGGTATATTCTTTATGCGCACCTTTATTGCTGGACGCACATTCAATCCTGACCTAAACCAACATACGAGGAAAGAAAGTAGACAGAATGGCTACACTTTGCGTTTACCCCCGAAACGAATGTATGTATGGTCCTTTTTTTACGTGTCCTTAAAAACATTTGCAACGACACTAGATCTTTATCTAGGTGCTTGGAGTATGAATGTGACTTGCCACTAGACCGCAGCATTACTTGTCCTACAGTGATCATCATATTAAACAACCGATCTTTTTTTTGCGATATATAAGTTTTATCGTTCTCTGGGTCACACTCCTTGAAAATAGAAGTTATCACAAATACTTTTTCTTGTAGATACGTCGCACGTTCGTATAGCTCGCACTTAAACATATATTTTCAATCGGCCGTTTAAAACTTCACTGATGAGCTCACATGTGTGTATTGACCACGTCATATGCCCAAGCGGCGTCCAGTTTTAATATTCTCAGAAATGAATCGGAAAAAGTATAATTATGAGCCAAAGTTCCAGCAGTCTTCACTTATAGACCCAAATTCACAGAAGTTGCACGATTAAAAAAAAAAAAAAAACGCGCCAACTCAGCTTAGAAAAAGAAAAAAAAAAAACGTGACGGCTACACTAAAGACAACGGTGATATCATGGTCAAATGAACGTTTCTCTAGCGTTGAGATGAGGATATCCATGCTTACTTTTAGAGAAGCGTAAGAGTGCAACACTCAATAAAAATATATTTCAACAGTGCTTTCAAGATAAGCTTTATTGTAATAATAGTCTTATTCCCATTTACGCACACATATGCGAGAAGTGGCTGAAGCTTTTGGGAAGATCAGTGTTACAATATTACATAGAACGTCTGTAAGATTCTAAAAATACTACGGTACCGACTTTGCAGATTATAACAACAATAAACCTATATTTTTTACTTCATCGAAATGAAATGTTGGTTCCTATAGCATACTAAATAAGAATATGAACATTGAGAGGTGCGATCATTTTTTAAATGTTTCCAAATGAAGAAAGCATGCACCAGTTGAGGCATTTCAGACATACCTTGAATTTGTTCCCGGCCAGAGGAACACCACTATTGTCGAAGGTTATTTGACCAACAGGTGAGGAACTTACAATGCATAAAGTTTCGGTCATGCCGTAGATATTGATGAGTGATTCTACGTTGAATATTTCACGAATTTCCTTTGCAAACAATTTCGTGATTACTGATCCACCCGCCATTATTCTTTTTACACCAGGTATAATATCGTTGTTTTTTCTAGCGTTATGAAAAATATCCCACATCCGGCCAGCTACGGCAATAAAAATTGATACCTGTAAGAGAAAACAAAAAGACATATCATAGAGGATTTGTTTCAAGCAGAGTAAGGTAAATATTGATATTATTGTAACGCCGAAATATTGGCACTGTGATTGAAGTATGTACAAATGTTGTATCGCCCAAATGTGTCTAAGCATCCTGACAGAGGCTGCATGTCGGGAAACATTTCTAACTTGCTTATTCAAAAGCATGCGCTATTTTTATTACACAAAATTTTTGTGAGCTAAAATTTTAATTTTAGACTAATAGAAGGCCAACATTGAAAGTCTTAAATTTAGTTTTGTACTTGACCCCTCATATTATTTAGTTTTTTTAACAATGTCAAAACTCAGGAGGCTGGAGAATCTATAGTGACAAATCAATGTCGAGGTTATTAATATTATAGTATAGTATACACTCCAGGTTAAAATGTTGGCGGTATTTCTAAAGTAGTCTTGAGTACGAAATAACACAACCTACCTCCTATTAAATTTGGCGTGAATTTTTTAAACCAGAAGCAATAAATAGCGCATTTTATTAAACAGATAGGAGTTTCTGCAGCAGCTCTGACTTCCAATAAAAGTGCTCAAACTGATTGGTGTGTTTACTGAAGCTACTTACAATTAAGGGACAGGGGAAAAGGAGGTTGAGACGTTCTTTTCCCCTCTCTTTCTTCTTCGACCAAGCTTCCCAGCTTTTACCACAGTCTAGGGTATTCTACATCATGATCAACTTCCACCAGCTCGCCTGCGCACTCACCAATTTTTCACTTACAACTAATTGATATCTTCCATCAAAAAGTCGCGGGAAAAAATAGCATTGAATTTGAACATCCTAAAAATAAGGGTCTATTTCTTCTTGACTATGCTGTTGCTGTGAAACCAAGCCAGCATGTTTGGAACTTATAGAAGCAAGTTACAGAACAACGCCAAAAATCACCAAGAGGGGATTTAAAGAAAAATAAACCTATTGTTATACGTATTGTTTACCCGTAATTTCGATAAAGCATTGTACTGTGTGCTAGCTTGGTTTATATATTTTTCGTGAGGCCTATTACGAGTAACCTTTGCAGTGTGATGAAGGCAGAATATACTATCGCTCATTCAAAAATTTAAAAGAAGTTCATATTTATGAAAACCTTCTTATAAGCGTTAATTTTTGGCACCAAACAGTGAATGTCGACCGCAGTAATATTCGTATGTAGAGCGTTTGATTTTAGGACAACGAGTAAAAAATACACATTAACCCTAACTTGGTTTTCTAAATTTAATGACAGGAAAAATGCCACTGCAATATGCAGCTATAGCTGGGTACCTAGAGTTAAGGAAGGGAATAAACCAATCTTGTTATAAAAAAAAATGAAAGCCGTTTACAAATCCCTGTAACGCCGAATCGGAGCGCAGCTCTTGAGGAGGAGTAGGGAAGGGTACTGAGGGGGGTTACGGCACTTGCGGGTAGTCACGTGACCCCGGGGGGTCATATGATCTCGGGGGAGGGGGTCACGGGTCACGTGACCTCAGGGGGGGGGGGGTCTCGTGACCTCGGGGGTCACATGACCCCCCCCCCCCCCCGGTTACGCCGACACCGACGCCGCTCAGGCTGGAAACGGGCCCCTAAGAGCTGCGCTCTAAAAAAGAAAAGAAGACATTACACTAGGATTGTTAAGACTGCTTACGTGTAGGAATGCGAAATCATTCCTACACATAAGCAGTCTTGTAGGAATGCGAAAGCATTCCTACAAGCAGTGCGCCACGCCTTACTATCGCACACGCCGTCATGACGGTGACATCACGTTCCTCTACTGCGCAGGCGCGGCGAACCCCGCCGTCTCCATGGCTTCCGTGAAGATGCATCTTCATTGCTGTGCTTTTGACCAATGGGAATTTGACTGCCGCTTCGCTGCTTCAGACGGTTAGAAACAACGCAGGCTTCGCTCCATGAGACGGTTAATGCTTTCGCAATAAATATTTAGTTGAGGAATGTAAAATAAGAATCAATCACTATCTGCTACTCTTTAATAAATGTAGAGTACTTGGCTTGGTAAGGATAAACTATTCTGCGATATGAAAGGGATTTCTAGTTCCATCTGAATATCCTCACCTTAAATTTTTTGAGAGTTTCCAGAAAATCTTCGTACGAAATTAAGGGATCGGTGACGACAGTCTTTGCACCTATAAGCATAGAAAACATGGCTACCGCGAAACCCGACACATGGGTGAAGGGATTCCAAGCCAAGTAAACATCGTCTTCAGTGCAAATTCCAGTGGACCTGAAACCCAAAATAATAGGTATGCTTAAATACAGGAAGTTTCAAAGACGAAAGAACGCACCAGATATGCCTTTCTCAATCGAATTTAATTTTTAACTCTTTGCATAATTAACATACCACGTGCTCCGATTTTAATACGAGTTACTCATAAAGTGCGACAAAATGGAAGAAACAAAGATATAAACAAGCGATGCACAAAGATTCGGGCTCCTACTTTTAATTTACCTACGCAGATTTTTAGTTGTGATTTGCTTAAAATAAATGTGACCCGTGTGGGCCCGAAAAGTATTATTTCGTGCACCATCTTTTGAAATACAGTTCCTGGTTTGCATCGAATTTTAATTTTATGAAGCACGATCAAGCTTTTTTTTATATATTTTTATTCGGCAGATTATTGCTTTTATTACTCCAGTAACCACTTCCACAAAAGAAGTTGCATTTCCTTCATGTCGGCATCGGTGATTATTTAATATAAGTTTTGCTTATGCGAAGCTTATTACATGCACTGCTTCCTTTTTTATTAACTTGACAAATTACATACTGAGTATATTATACATCCGTGCCTGTACACAAAAATAAAATAAATGTACTGCCGGCCTACAGAACTGCACCCTTTAGTTTTCAAAACGGATATATATTTCCCCTTCTATGATCAGGTACCTGTATGCGTAGAACGAGGCACAATACGCTTTGTGCGATATTTCCACACCCTTCGGGAGGCCCGTTGACCCTGACGTGTACAGAATGACCACAACTTCTTTCTCGGTCTCTGTGGGCACGTGCGGTTTGAAGGACGCATCAGGAAGATATTGGAAAAGGAGAACGTTGATGAAACCAGGCGCACCCCCTACGGCGAACAATTCCTGCGAAGTAAAATAGAAAGGATATGATAGAATGCTGTGCTCGTTGCCTGGTGAAAGAAACTGGTGGACTCGAATTCCTAAACGCAATAGATATGTAATCCCGAGGGTGATAAAGATAGTTTCTTCTCTTCTGAATAAGAAAGGAATTAAACCTTCTTTAAATTAATGTACTGTTTTTATGTGTTCACATACTGAGACTTTTACTACCAAACCCCTTAGTGTCACGTCGAATGCTGCAATTGCTAACAAAGGCTGGATCGGATCTTTCGCTACAACAAACTTAGCAAGGCCTATTCACTCTTTCGTAAAAAATAACTTGCATTCAAAATAATTTCATGACAAGCACTTACAAGTGAAAAACAGCCGTGGTTTCTCAAACAGCTAAAAACTGTTCGAGAACAGTTTTTAGGTGTTTGAGGGGGGGGGGGGGGGGGGCGGTAGAAGTGTTTTTATCCTAGTATCTTCCTCTGGCGAGGAAAGCGCAGGCTTGTGTTTTCTTGTCTGTGAAATGCTCCAGTAATTAAATAGATAAGCACTTGCTCACCTTAATGCTTGGTGGTATCTTCCACTTTGCAGCCTGTGGCGCGGTTTCTAGGTCAACTAGTAGAAAAGTGCAGTGGCTGTCTTCAATCGTATACACCAACTCCCCTATAAAACAGGCCTCATATTAAACTTACTGCTTCTAAAAAAATGCTTTAATATATCTTCGATTTGATTTAAGGCGTTTTGAGTACTTACTTTCCACGTAGGCCGTCTTCGCCATGACGAGCGTCCCGCCCGCAAACATAACACCAAATGCCGCGGCTACGTTTTCAACGGTGTTGCCAACATACACACACACCTTGGTCCCCGGTTTTACCCCGTGTTGGTAAAAACCTTCAGCGTATTTACGAATTTTTTTTAACAACTGAGAGGCGCTTAAACTTTGCTGGGCGTCAACCTAGAAAAAAAGGGGGGAAAGCCTTTTATAGAGAAAAACGCAAAACGTGTTGTTAAAGAATCTTCTAGAAATTCCGTTCATATATATTGAGTAGCACATTGTTACGCTTGGAAATATGAAGAGGAAAACCCGATAAATACAAGCATCTTTGATCCGGATATTGGAAGCCTGAACAAGCAAGCTGTAGATTTGTCATTTAGCTTGAGTCGATATCTTAGTCTTACATACGCAGCGGCGATGTCAGGTACAGTGCTGGACGTTTAAACGGACTGAAGGTTCTTCCTATTATAGCTTCTTATTGTCTTTCCTTAGACGCGTCACGCTAACACTCAAGTTTAAGACGAAACTCCATTGAGCAAAAGAAGTGGCGAATTTCGCCCGGTGGCGTTCGCTTTGCGTGTGGCGTGAGAAGAGTGGCTGTTGCGCCTCGCTCAAAGCGACCGCGCCGCCTGGAAAAGTCCTTAGGCTCTTCGCCGCATATTTGCTCCATGGAGTTTAGCCCTTAGTTTATCAACTCGTCTGCAACAACAGAAGACGGCTAAATGTCACTGGGCGTTCAATAAATCAACAAGGTGTTAGGCGCGTACACCAGCGCGACATAAGGTTAAAAAATAACGGACATGTTGTTTCACCGATACACGGGCAAATTACTTCAATATGTAATTTAATTACAATTACAATTACTTTGCTTCAAAAGTGGTTTAACTACAATTACAATTACTACTGCGTGAAAAGTAATTATTACAACTACAAATTACTTTTAAAAAGTAATACAATTACTTTACAATTATTTATTTCTGAGAGCGACCCGGCTGGGGCCATATAACTTTAAACAAGTCGTATAAGAATGCAACGTATTTGTCCATTCCTTGCCCGAATGTTTGAGGAGGCCTAAGCATCGCTAAAAAATGCCCCGTATTGTACTTTCCTTTTATGAATTTTGTTAAATTCATGACAGAGCTCGACAGCTTGAGGCACTGAGGCACTGCGTTTTTATATTTTTTTTTATAATGAATAATGAATTAATTCATATGCTAGAAGACGCCAGATTGCTAAAGAAAAAATTGGGTTGACAGAGTTTTGTTAGCCCGGGAAATAAAAACGCGACCGTTAGTCAGATATGAATATTTTACAAGTGGTTATATAAAACTAAACTCCACTCACGCTAATACGACCGCATTCACATACAAACATCATGATATTATAAATTATTTACATTCAGTTGAAATTATAATGGCTCAGAAACATATAAGAACCGAATCGGGACTCCCGAATCATTGTTAACAATATTCACAGGTGCGAGGTCAGTCCCCAAAATGCTTATGCAAAAAATATACAAAGTAAAACAAACAAGAAATAAACTTGAAAATAATACAAAGATACACTCATGGGACAGTATTGGAATGGGACGTGAAAAGCTTGCAAAAAAACACAAAATCTTTAGAGACCATTAAAATTCCCCAGCTCAACTGAAAGCTGAAGATCTACTTTTTTTTTCTTTCAATTATTTGGCATGTTTACGCTATCGTTTTCTTTTCGCACAGCAGACTCTGCTACACGGTGTCGTTGAGGTAGGCTCCAAAGAGGATTGTCTCTCAGCCGGCAATGCAAGGAACAAAATAACAAACAATGCGACGCTATTTATGTTGCGCGTGTGTGTGAGTGCGTGTCTTTGTGCGAGTGCTTCACCGATAGCTAGGCCGCTTGTGCGAGCGCTGAGGTTTTCAGAGAGGTTCTGTCGGCGCCGCAAAGTTTTTCAAAAGTAATTGTAAATGTGCCTTAAAATTTGCTATTACTGACGCTAGAAAGTAATTGGAATACAATTACAATTCCCTTTGGCTGAAAGTATTTAATTACAATTACAAATTACGAAGAAACGTAAATAATTAGAGTAATTAAATTATTGTAATTCAATCACTACCCAGTTATAATCTCACCACTATCACATAGGCACAAGCTAAAAATGGTTGATCTCATCGTTATGGTGTTGACGCTTGCGCAACACGAAAGATACATGTTCCAATTCTGTTAATAGCGCATTGATCGCACACTTTCCAGGCCAAATTTCGGAGATTTGCATGATCATCACATAAAGAAGGCGACTCGCATACTCACAATGATCACCTTGTGTAATAGTTTCTTCAAGCGTCCTTCTATGAGTTCAGAAGCACAGTTGTTCCCAACGTCAAAGTCCGGAAGAGGCGATTGTATCACTCCGTTCACAATGCGAGCGGCCATGCTTACCGAGGTTTGGGAGGTTTTCTAAAGATGTAAAGGAGAGGAAAAACGATGGCAATAGGTTAAAAAGTTCTGTGTCTGTGGTTCAATAAGTCGAGAGGAATGAACAGACAGGATGTGTCGTTGGCATTCCGCTGTTCAGAAATAACTTTACCGCCAAGTCTGTAAAGGCCGTTTCACAGATACAGCGTAGCGCTAAGGTAGATTCAGCGATGGAGCAGTGCTACTCTCAGTGATGAGTTACCGCAAAGTTAGCTCTGCATAATTCATGTACGCTGAAAAGGGCAGAGTCACCTACAACGGTCCGCTAATGCACAGCTGCTATAGAGCAAAGTCAGTGTTGTATCTATAACGCTGATTTAGCGCTGTGCTCTAGGTTTGAATAAGCTCTAATATTTAATTCACAAAACTACACTTTCGGATTTATAGGCCCTCAAAAATACGATGCAGCGTAAAATTCAACTGAAACGGTGGTGTTTTTTTGTGTCTGTTTCTTTTTGAATGGAAATTCTTTACCGACCTTTTAAAAACAAAAAGAAAGCTCCAAGCGATAGACTCCTCTGTTCAACGACGTTTCTTCGTAGCCAGGTGGAAACAGACCATTAACTAGAGTACCATTACACCATTCGTGCACGCAGCAAGTGGAGCACACTCGTATGTTGCGCACATAAACGCAGTATCCAGATATTTGAGCTTCGCACATGTCCCATGTTTTGTCATTTGTCAAAAACAGTTGGGGAGAGACTTCTGAGAACTAATAGCGCAACGGCACTTAAACTGAACATAAACTATAGACGTACACAGTGCGCGAGGTGGAATTTTTTAAATATATGCTTACGATTTAGCATTTATTTTCATTGTATACTCCGTTTCATTATATGGGGAGTGCAAGTCGTCTGCTTCTTGCTAAGGAGTTGCAGTGACGTCAGAACGACGCCGAGCTCTGATTGGCTTTGGTTGAAAGGATAGTGGGCAGACCTCAATGACAGATTTCTTGATGTCTACCCACTATTTCTTCCAGTCAGCCAATAAGAACCTGGCGTTCTGACATCATCCTACACCCCGTGTAAGAACCAGATGAACTTGCGCCCAGCATAGGTCCGATCGCAGCCGACGCCACGACCAGAGGGAACCAATAAACAAGCGAAAAATTGCATCATCACGGTGTTCATAACCTTTGCGTGATTCCCAAGCAGCTCAAAGTTGGCCAGTCATCGGCCAATGGCTGGTAATGGTCCTTAGCCAAGTGGCCAGACAGCGGCCAGAGACTGGCCGGTGACTGGCCTTTATCTGGCCATTGGCCATTGGCCACTGGCCACTGGCCATCAGCCAAGCATTGGCCAATGAATGGCCACTCTCTGGCTACTGGCCAATAGACCATCGCCAGACATTGGCCATTGCTTGGCCAAAATCCGTGCTGCTTGGTTTGTCATCATCTGCTAAATCATACACACGCAGACAAAAACGCAAGATCACGGGGCATTCACTGTGTGTGAAGACCCAAATACCGGAGTTCTCCCGTGGGAGCTCGGACCTTGGGAACAGGTGATCACAACGATTGTTAACACAGCAACTTGGGCTAGTTGTTTTTCCATCTTGCGACTGAACATCGCCTAAACGTCTCACGAAACAGGTACTCTCTCGATTAGAGACAAAAGCATACACACAGCGTTGAACTTACAACTCTGCATTTTGTCTTCGTTTCCTTCTACATATTATTAAAACAAAATCTGTATATTGTTTGGTCCTCGTTTTTGTCTCCGCCTAATAAACCAAATTCCTAAAATAGTCCGCGATTATCTTCTAAAGGTGAGGTAAGCTAATTTTTTTGCAGATGAGGTGAGAGATTGGCTGCTCACGTATTCATCGTCAAGCCTGGCAATAGGCTTCGCTTCAACGATGGTCAACGTTCTATGCAATTTCAAACGCTGCATGTACCTGTTGGAGCTTACCTACGAGCTTCCAGGTAAGAAATTCATCAGACCCCTGGATTTACGACAATTTTTGTTAAGCGATCACGCATGCTGGTGATATAAGCCACGAGAGAAAAAAGTGCTACTTCACTTTAACTCTGCTCACTCCGAGCTCGTCAAGAGAGGCATCGTGAATCTATGCCTCAGAAACTCACTTCGCGAATCTTGCGAACATTTGGTCAAACCAAGCTCCGATGCGCACACCTCTTGCCTAACAGCAGCAGGGAACCCAAGTTTCTTTTTAATTTCGATTTCAGAAAACCTCCTCAAAGATATGAAAAGACAGAGGGCCACGCAACCTCCACCAAGAGACAGGTCACCTAGGTAGGCCTATTGTTGTGCCTTGAATTCAAAACTTCTCACATGGAACGAAAAAAAGTAGCGAAAAACGAAAACGCTGAGGCGGTATAGCACAAGCTCTCCAGCTCGTGCAAAAAAGTGAACGTTTTTTCAAACACATCAGCAAGCTGCATTAAGGAGCACAAAACCAGTTGTGTCAAGTGCATAGAAAAGGTCGTGAACTCTTTTCCTCCTGTGGGAAACACTATATCGGCCAGACTGGACGGTGCCTCAACGATCGACTTCGCAATTTAGTGGTGTAAACATCACCCGTGCGGGCGATGTTTGCACCACGCAATTGAAGGCCGAAATCACTTACAGGTGTTGGGTGACATTTTTCGCCTCACTTCACATTTTATATCCCAACACACAATTTAAAGTATAAACAAATAAACAAATATGTTTGCTACAAAAAAGACACTTCCAGGCACAAAATGTCGCACATTACGAAGAGCTAGGTTGACCCTCGGATTTACGTGCACCACAAGTGCAATCATATTTGATAGTAAATAACTTGAATATTATATTAGTCAATATTCCAATAAAGTACCCAAAAGCACTGCTTAAGCAAAATATAGCGTCGTCACCAGTGCGCACGCGCCAAACCCATACCGCGTTTCGGATTGGCTCATGCCGACACCATTTTTTGCACAGGCACAAATTTCAGTACGTTAATATAAAATTCGCAATTTAGAGATTTATTAATTTTGAGGAAGACATTCTAGTACCGATGAACTGTCCTAAATATTGTTGTACATTACATTACTGATATTTTATATTAAAAAAAAAAACTTTCAAACATGGCGCCTTAAGCGATTTTCTGCAAACTTTTGGACATTGGAACAAAAACAAGTAATCAATATCAAACCACCAAAATTTACTGACAATGCTTACAAACATTTTTTTTTTTTTTAAGTTTTTGTCACCTATACTCAGGGAGACATGCACGTAGCGTGCTACTAGAAATGAGTCACTTCTACTTAGTTACTTTTTTGAGTAACGAGTTGCCTATTTAGTTAGTTTGTTTAGAAAAGGAATGAGTAACGTACTTACTTCCTTTTATGACCAAGTAACGAGTAATTGTAGTTCGTTACTTTTGAGGAGTAACGACTACAACATCATTTAAGCAGCCTGCTTTCAATTATAATCCGAGGATACCTCTATTGCGACAAAGGCAGGTGGGTAATCCAAAAAAGCAACTAAACAGTATGACACCATAGCAACGTGTATCGCTGAATGCGTCAGTCGAAGCCTACAGCTGGGGATGTGATTCAGCCAGCGAACAGAAAAATATTCGTAGGTGGAATTTTCCAGAATTCTGCACAGACCGAATGCAAACTCAAATCCTGGCATCACGGGAAGGCCCCGAACCCATTGTCAAATCCGAATTTTAGATGCAGAGAGAAAAAGAGAGATAAGGGAACCTTAGATGCGCCAGCTCTTTCTGAAGCATTACACTGACGTTCCACCAAGCGCGTCAGTAAAACGACTATATTCAGCGTCGCTGGAGATGCTTTCTCATTGAAGACGGAAACATAACTCATGAAAACAAGAAGTACCTTTCGCTTAAGTGCCACGACTACTAAACCAAACAATAAACCATGAAACAAAAGCAGTTGTGTATTTGGCCGTCAAAGTAACGAAAAAAGTAAAGCACAACTTTTGAGGTAAAACAACGCGTTCCTTTTGACAATCGGTAACAAGTAGCTTATAGTTCCCTTTTAAGCGGGTAACTAGTAACGTTATTCAGTTAATTTTTTCGAGTAACTTGGACATGTCTGCCTATAAGTTATTTATTATAATCCTTTAAAACCATGCGGCATATATATCTGAGGAACCAGGCGCAAGTCCTCCATTGAGCCCCTTTTTGAACCGACACGGAGCCTTCCGCTGCGTGGTGCATACATTACCGGATAGTCAGTGGCGTGTAAAAACACCAGAGGCATAACTTGTGGGACGGTCAAACACTGGTTCGATGACGCTACCTATCTTTCCACATCATCGTCCCTTTTTCGTTTTGTTTCTTTTTTATGCCACCTGCTGCTGTTCCGCCCTCACCACGCCCGCCATCGGTTGGGGCATAAGATTCCCAACATCTCCGGTTCATATTCCATGAATAGATCACGGATAAAACTATGAGTCATACAAGTCAATTTAATGCTGTCTGATAGTCAAGTGACCTTCGAAACGGGCGCAGTGACCTGTTTTCATCTGATGAGCAAAATTTGCGCATAGCTCGTAACGTCCACTACAGTCCATTCTAATTAGAAACGGAGGATGGATGCTTTGCAGCAAGGCATGGGTGCCGCAATACCCGAACTTCCATTTCAGTTTCCTTTTATTCCGTTCACTTCACTTCATAATGACCGCGTCAGGGCAAGGTATTGCCATTTTAGATACTACTGTGTCCTCTTCAGCATTTGCCTTCGTGCAGCTTGTAAACGCCCGCTTCACTGGCTCGGCATCTGGGTAAGAGAAGAGAAGGTCAGCAATGGCGGCTCTAATCTGGCGCGTGTGCAAAGCGTCTACAGTGGCATCTAGATAAATTAATAGAATGATTTTGTCAGCAGGTTGCCCACATTAGCACAATAAACTGAGAAAGTACACTCTTAAAAAAAAGCGAGTAAAAAACTAGAAACTGCAGCTGTTGCTACCTTTTTCTGGCTGTTACTACCATTTACGATTTAT